TAATGTTTGTACTAGTTTTAAAAAGAGAGAGAGAGAGAAGTGCACTGTAACAACAGTTCTTAAATATTTTAGTTTACTCAATTATAATATTTAAGATATACCATAAAACAGGGTAATTAGGGACAGATTTTTCGAAATTGCAACAAATCCATGGCTTTTAATTCTCAAGATATGGCTTGAAGACAAATAAAATTGATGGATAGGTGGCCCAATTGTAATTCATTATAGTAACCTAACTATGTCTCATATGAACATCATAGGCTCTAGGATTTTTAAAAGTTTATCGAGTGTTCCAAATCTACCCACTATGGGATGATAAGTGTCAAACACTAAGAATTACCTGTAGTCCCTTTTTCTCCAGCAATTGGTTGTATAAGGACAAACAAAACATTCTTAAAAAGCCACAAAAGTATAAAATGAGAATGCATTATCTCACAATTTTGAACAATAAGGAATGTAAAATATTTAACAGAAACCAAATTTTAAACTTATAGATATCAGGAATAATAAAAAGCTAAAGAAGAAGTGCCCTTCACTGAAATCTTAAATGCTAAAGTTAGATGAAATAGATTTTGTCTCTAATCACCCATTCTATGATACATCTATTTTGGGGAGTGAGAGCAAAGATTTAAATTATATCAGATGAGCATATAGAAACTGATAATTGCAAAATTGGCCTAATATGAACAAGGGATCTTTATGCACACATGACTTAATTGAGTAAGTGTAACAAAAAAAAAATACCATAACTACGAAATTTTACAAAGTCAATTTAAAATAGTGTGATAAACTAATCTTGTTATAAGGATATTGATATTTAAAAAAAGAGAGAGATATAGAGAAGATTATAATTGTCACTCTCCGTTGAAACTGTCAAAGATCTTATTCATCATGAAATGGAGACATCTCTTGAACTCCATGGTGTTCCTTCAGGGGGCTCTGAGGCTGCAATTGAGGGTGATTCTTGGTTAGATCACTGCCAGTGGCATCAGTGGCTATTGTATGCCTTCAGGGTCTGTAGGGGCTAGGAACTGAGTATTTCTGGATGTGTGGTACTCTTATCCACCCAACTTGTGTGATTTCTGTCTCCTGCAGATCCCCATGAATTGGAACTCAATTCTAGGGCTATCAGTGTTTGGCTGGTCTGGGGGTAGTGAGAGAGTTGTGCTACTTCATCCGGGGTTTTATTCACATTAGTTGTTGGGCCTAAGAAGACAGGAGATTGGTGTCCAGTCATCGATCATTTTCTTTTTATCAATGCCTCATTTCTACAAGATTCATAAGTTACTCATTCCTCAATCTCAGTTGACATTTTTTACTGGGATTATGAATGTCTGTTGTAGTCAGCTCCTATCTGCATATTGCCATACTGGTGGCATCCCACCACTATCGGCGTTTATTGTGCACAAGGGTCAGGTATTGCAGTTTGGGGTTCTTACTTTCAGACTGTCATATGCTTCACTTGGTTCTGCCAATTCATACAGGGTTTTTTCTCATCATCTTCATTACATAGCACACACACCATTCCATAGACAACCGTTTACTGCTGGCACTATCTCATCAACTGTCAGAACAGCACACCTGGATTCTACTTTGAGAAACCACTAAGGCAGGCTTCATTCTCAGAGCTGAGACATCTATTCTTGCACAAATTCAATATGTCATCAGTCTGGATATTTTATTTTTCATCACATCCCTTTGTAGGGCTCAACTGACTTGTATCTGGCTCCACACTATGGAACAGGAAACTCAACTCTTTTTCACCTCTCCTTCTCCTATTGCATGGATGGTTCTTTCTCTTCTGGGAATGTGGGCTCACTAGAATCACTCATGCCATTGGGACAAGAGCACAAGTGATCCTTTTAATGGTCTTTATGCAACCAAAGGATCATAAACATTGATTCACTAGATTCCTCAGTTTCCTTAGGCAGGATCATTTTTCAATCTAGAGGGGCTGTTAAGTTGTAATGCTACTAAGATATGGGTTTCTATACTGCCCCCTCATCTAGAGTTCCACCTCTTCACAAATGCCTCGCTTCAGGGATAGGGTGCATGTACCAACAGTCGGGAATTCCAGGGTATATGCATGAATGATGAGGCTTCCCTACACATTGTTTTAGTCCTTCTTGCTCTTCCAAAGACAATGCTTCATGGTCTGGGCTTATTATGGGGAAATCATCGGTCTTCTTTCTGACAATTCTGTGGTGCTGTCTCATATTTCTCATAAAGGAGGCACTTGGTCCAGGGCTCCTTGTTTACAAATCTTGGACCTCCTTTTTTAGGACCACTTCAATCATATCACCCTACTAGCATGCCATGTTCCAGGGGTGATGACTGCAGTAGCAGATTGATTATCTCAAGTCAAGTAGATCCTCACAACAGAATAGATGCTGCATTGCAAAGTTCTGTTTGTTTGACTCTCATTTTGCAGCCCTGATTGGTGTGTTGGCCTCTCATTGGAACAACCAACTAATGGCAATGTGGTCACCAGTACCTCACCTTTGGGCTTTGACAATGGATGTGTTCCATCAGGATGGGACAGGATTACTACTCCAAGCCTTCTCTCCAATTCATATGTTACCCAAGATACTAACAATGTTTTGATCCAACCAATTGTTAGGGTCTGTGGTATCTTGAGGAGTGTCCACCTCTTCCACTTATTCTTAGGCCATCTCTGTGGAGGCAGCCATGATGTGACAGAGTTCATCCAGCTATCCAGAAGCTCAGTTTCAGGCATAGAGGTTATGCAGTTTTTGCTTAGTTCTGCAATGGACATTTCTCTATGGAAATGGCACACATATCGGCAATGGTGTATTAAGAAGAGTTGAACCCACTTTGATCAGAAATGGCAACCATAACTCGTTTTTTGACCTGGCTCTTTGGCAAGGGTTGTTTTGCACCTTCCATAATCATCCACTATATGGCAACCTTATCAACTACCAATCAATACTGGCAACTAAATATTCTTTGAGACCCCAGTATTCTCTGGATTCTTCAAGTTGCTTGATGTCCTTTGTCCCAAATGACCATTCCAGTTACCTACCTGGTATATTAAGGTTACATTACACACCCTTTCTCTACACCTGTTTGTGTCCTGATTCTCATATGCCATGTATTGCCTCTACCTTAAAGTTTGTTTTTTGTTGCTGCTAACCTTTAGATATGGCTGGTAGTAGTGGTTTGCGCTGTTTGTCCACAGACTGCTTTATTACTCTACCAACATCCTCAGACCAGTTTTTCTTACCCAAGACACTGAAACAGGGAAGGGGATTAATCCTTTTCAACGATTCATCTAATCACTATTTCTCACTTCTATGACTGATCAAATTTTGATTGTTGTCGTGTTCAGTGAGGGCATGCCTTTTGAGATGCTAGATGACAACTTTTTATTCTGGGCTCTCTTTGAAGGTGAGGAATCTTCTGCGAGTCATATCTAATCAGATTTGTCATATTTCTATGTCATTAGCAGCTTGGTTGAATTGCCCACTGGAGAACATTATGTGGACCTCCCCCAATACATTTATCTCATTTTGTATGATCTGGTAGTATCTGCATCTGAGGATTTTTGCCTACCCCCTGTAGCTATTTTAACTACTTTGGCTAGATTATACAGATGGGTTATACACTGTTCCTCAGGAATCCCCAATGTGCATTAATCCCCCCCCCCATTCTACGAGTGGAGATATGGACTCCTTACCACACCTAGTTTCCAGTCATTCGGGTGGTGGAATGGAAGCTTTTCCTCTGCTGTTGGAGAAGAGGACATAGTTAGGGGTCCTCCTACCCAGGTCCCTGGATGTTTTTTTCCAGATGTCAGTAAGAGATGCACCAGCCTACGCAGGAACCAACTCATAATAACAGTTCAGATGTGATGCTTGGCTATCCTGTTGGGTTGAGCGTGGCCCTTCTTTTCGATCAATATTGGTTTAGTATATTGTTCATGGAAGAGGGTCTATTGTCTCCTCCTAATTCCAAATGCAGAGTGGTCTCATCCTGGATCCTTGTTTGAGCACAGATTGTTCCATGTCCTCCCCATAATTTCGGGAGCAAGTAGAATTTACCTTGCCCACACGGTTGGGAAGTGAGGATAAGTGTTCATAATTCTAGACTGGATGAGTTCTGTTTCATCAAGTTGAGTACATCATACAAGATCCTGTCACTCCCAGCCTGGGATGTTGCCTTTCGACCTTCTTCAGGTGGAGAAGAAGGTTTGTCCATTTCAGTGTTGCTTACCTTCTCATCATAATTCCAATGGCTCTGAACACATCACTCTATGGCTACAGGTTGGGATCCACACATAAGTATATATATATATATATATTGCGGTTTAATTACCCTAGCCACCAAAGTGGGATATAGGGTCCATGGCCCTATAATTCCAACCCAAAGCAGTGGAATCTTGGCTATCTGGTTAGGGCCTAGCCTATAGTGATGATAAATCATGTAAAATTTCACCCACAATACAGGAATTAAGTTCAGTGTGAAGTGAATATCTGTTCTGAATGTAGTGCTGTTCCCCCATTAGGGTGCCAATCTTTTATTGACACACCCATGATCTATGCAGATGCTTTCTGTATGGATAATGCCCTCACCGGCCCCTCCACCTTATCAATGTGGGATTCTAGCTATAAGTGTGAGAGGAGTTAAGTATTATTGGAAATATATTTTTCTTTTAAAAAAATAACTTCAGCCTTCTAAGTCTTAACCACTGATTATTATCTTACAGTAACTTGGTTCATTACTGTTTATCATGAATGTACTTACTTATGTATGTAGATATTACATGTAGTTTATCCAGCACAGTACTGGTGAGTAAAGCCCAATTATACTGCAAGCTCAATAGAATGAAAAATAACTATTCACATGTGTCTAAAGGTTGGATAAATAACTACATGGAAATTTTGTCACATTTTAATTAAAGAAATAAATATGGATGCTTTCCACTAATATTCACTATTGTTATATCCTGTTTTAAATTCTTAATAAAAATGCATTTCTAGGACTCCTGTTCATTGCTAAAAATTCCTTTGGTACCTCAAACCCTGTCTGACTATGTTGGCAAGGAGACAATGCTGATCTACATAGTATGGGTTATATTTCAAGCTCTTCTAGCATGTTTTCCCATTGGAAAGGTTATTCGAGGTATACCCATTACTGGGAAGAAAACTTCTCAAATTCTGAAGTATCGGATGAATGGTAATTAAATTTATACATAAGATTTTTGCTAAACTTTAAGGTTGACTTATTGAACTTAATTTATGTTAAACTACATTACACATATTAAAATAATATTCTTTTTGGTACTTATGATAAATTGAGGTATCCATTCATTTTGGTTGCTAACCTGCTGTTATCTTGATAAGGACTGTTTTTGGGAAGAAGCTGGAATTTGATTATGTTTAAAAGGTTGTGCTTATATGGGCTGGTATTTAAAAGATTATTGTTTTTGAATGCCACAGAAAGGTTATCCATATTTTGTTTTATACTTGAGGGCTAAGTTAATAAATACATAATTAGTTAAGTAGCAATACGTGTGTGTGTGTGTATATACACAATTCAATGTCCTGATATAACAGAGTACAACTGCTGTTATTACATAAAGTTGAAGGCACCACTGAGTACATTTTAGTGTTGTATTAAATTGAAGAGTACAGAGTATGTACTTAGCAGTTTGAACAACAGCACCGTTTGAAAAGAGGCAGGTTGATATTGAAAAATGCCAGGACCCCATTTAAGATATCTGGACACTGCTTTGTGTTTTAAAACTGGATAGAAGGCTGTTAGTGTACCCCTCTTCCCAGTTGTAGTTTCTAAGAGGTTTGAGTATTGTAAAGGATAGTATGCAGCAAGTTACAAAGAGACATGTATAAGGTCTCTCCTGCAAAACAGAAAGTGGTTCAACAAGGTGAAACAAGTAGGTCATGTTTAAAATTTTTGAGATACAATTAACAGATCTGTTATTTTAAGTTGATAAAGTATCATCACATTGTCTTTGAATAATTTCAATACAGTGTTTACAATTAATTATATAAAAAACACATAAAAATATAGCTGACGCTTGTCAGATCACTGAGGTAAAAAAGAGATCAATCAAAGCATTTTGTGTATGCCTCTGACATTTAAAAATAGCAGGCTTCATATCATTTATTAACGGGTATTGTAACGGTATTTCTGGGTACTAGTGTAGTAGTGTCCTTCAAAACAGAAACACTGTGGACATTTCCATGATATGGAAAACAAATAGGTAAGCTAAAGATTACTTATACACAGATACAACATATTGAAGAGTGTCTATAAGTTTCATAAAGTATAGTTAGTATGATGTGGACTTACTTTCATACCCTCTGGTGGCTCAGTGGTAAGTCCAAGAGCTTATAATGCTAAAATGGGGTTTTGATACCAACGGTGGACATAGCACAGACAACTGATTATGTAGCTTTGTGCTTAACAACAAACAAAACTTACTTGGAGACCTGGGTAAGGTATAACATTGTTGACAACCCACAAAGAAAAAGCTGTTTGACATAATGGGCTAAACTCAACTGGCAGGCATCAGTTAAATAAATGGTAAGTGGTGTGCATTTCTGTAATCCATTGTCACAATACAGCCAATTTTAATGGGTGAAGAACATGTCGATTGATCAAATATCATATATTGAATGTTTTGTTCACCGATAAATTGTGCCTCACATTGAAGCCAAGTATTTGTTGCATATGCATTTAGAGATTGGCCAAGAACAGAACCTGACACAATTTCATGAAGAAAGGACACACACACACACACACACATATGGCAGTGGTGGCATAATGGGCTAGGAAGGGTTAAGTAAAAGTAACCACCTAATTTCTTATGCTACGAATGACACTGAATGCTATATGATTGAGGTGCAATTGGTTGAAACTATCATCTGATGGATGATAACATATGCTCCCACAGTTTTCAACTGGCTAGCAACTTTCTAGTAAAAGGTATTAAGTATGCTTACTAGATTTGAATCTGAATGAACATGTGTGAAAAGTCTGAGAATACCCTTGGTAGTGCAGAATTCAACTCTAAGAAGTATTAATGAACTGGAAGCAGCTCTGATGGTGAAATGGGCTGTGTTCCCCCAGCAGCTCATTAGTTCACTCATCTTAAACATGCTGCATCAGTGTTCCTATTTTTTTAATGTTGAAAGTGACCATATGCCTTAATTTCATATGTTTTGGTCATTTCGTGGGCTGCAAAATCTGAATTTTTTGGGTCTCTTATATCATAAGTACTTTTATATTTAAAATTTAATTGTATATTAGTCGGTCATGCTTCAGTGGTTTTCTGTGGCTTTCACTAAGAAATGCCAAAATATCTTATAATAGTAAAATTATAGAATTTGATGTATATTTTAAGTGACAGATAAGGTAAAGTCTTAACATCATAAATTATGAAGCTAAGTTGTGATAATGGAATGTAATTTTAATCATGATTTCAAAATCAAAGTAATAATGGTTGTAATATTCTGATTTATTTACAAACTTCTCATTATCAAGCAAGTAGCTCACAAAGCATCGTCGTCAACCTAATTTATATTAGAAAATGTTTTTAACTGAATTGAGGCACTAATTAATATATTCAGTTCATCTAAAGTTTTTCAAAGGCATTTTTAAGTTGTATTTGGCAGTTTAATGCAAAAAGATGAATCTGAATGTCATTTTAGGTTGAAATCACTTACATTTGTTACTTGTGTATGTTAGTTGCTACATATGACCTCTAGCAGTTGTCACAGTTGATGACACAAGAGACTTGCCTTAGTAATCAGTAACTTTGAAGTAATGTAACACTATAGATATTAAAAAATTAAATATTTATTTTTGTCCTACCATACTATAAAATGTTTATATAACTTTTTTTTTTCACTTTTCAGGTTTTGCTTCATTTATAACAAGCCTGCTTGTGCTTCCTGTACTAATGCATTTTGGATTTCCACTGACATTTGTATATTCTAATTTTTTTAAGCTCATGATTGCCTCTATCATCTTTTCATTTGTGTTTGCTGTGATGATATATATCAAATCATTAAGACTTCCAATATACAGTATCAATCCTGAAGCTAGGTCAGGTAAGTTGTCTTTATAATTTAAGTTCATTTTATGCTAAAAGTTTACAGTTCTTGATGTATGAATAATTCAAGTAATGAAATAAAGTTTGCCAAAAAGTACAGAAACAAGGTAGGGATGAATATACAACACCACAAAAAATCCCAACATAAGTAGCAAAATTTTTCCAAGAAAAACTTTTATCAACAACTAAATGAATTACTTTCATTTACATGAATTCAGGTTTGAATAAAAGTATTTAAACTGAATAATGTTATAAAGTCTTACAATGGCTAATTCCCATAATCTTGTAACATTGACCCAGTGGCTACTTATGTACGAATTTTTGTATGGTTTTGTATGTTCATCCGTTTCTTGTTTCTGTATTTTTTAGCATTGCCATCCCTACATCATCCTTATTTTTTTCTATTTTGTCATTAATTGTTTCCATCTCTTATTTTTTTTAATGAATGGCAGTTGCTATGAAGGTAACAGTTTTAGCCTGGCATGATGAGTTGTCTTGATGGACATCATGTGTTGAAACTAGTGAAATGCTATACTGCTTTTGCACTCCCCAAGTTAAAATGCAACATTTTGGTATGTAAATCATCACAACAGCTTCAAGCACTGGTGAGCTAGCTGTTCTGACACCAGAATAATCAGATCTTTTGGCTGTTATACTACTTGCTGGTTCTCTTTAGCGATGTTTTAGGCTAAACTGGTGGTCTTAATAGCTTTTGAAAACCTAAGTTAGGTGTTTATAAAAGCCTCTTAGATTGTTATATGAGAGATTTGAGACTATGATAAGCAATGCATAATATGTGGTGGCCATTTTTTTTCTGCCCATCCATACATCCTAAACACTACTGTGCTTAGTGATATAGTTCAGTGTGTTTATGTATACTTCTCTATATGTTTGTATATCTGGCTTTCCAGAAATAATCCTTGTATATAACAGTAGATGAGAACCATCAAACTAAACTTAACTCTTAAATTGAAATAATTAATCAATTATTGTAATGAAAATTATGAAAGAGCACAACTTACTATTTAGCTTTTTTTTTTTAAAGATTACAAGGTAAACTATATAAGAGGAATAATTATTTTAAGCTTCCTTTTTTTCTATTGTAATTACAGTACACAATAACTCAACTACCAGGTTCAAATAGTATTCCAGCTGTAACTCAAAATCATCTATGAATCATGGTGTTAACAAATTTATCTATTACACTTTGACCTATTACATTAAAGTACATCTGCTACTAAAACAATAGAAGGATGGGAATTAAAATATTTAATGCTAAACTGAGTTGAAAAGGATAAAAAACTGTAAAAGTTTTGTGGGACATTGTAATTTTATAATATTTCTCTTCACTGTAATTTAAATTCCATTGGAATAGCATAGGATGTAATTTATTTACAGGCTGTCCGCAGTATGATTTTTTTGTGGGTCGAGAAATTCATCCAAGAATTGGGAAAATGTTCGACTTGAAGTGTTTTGTTCTCAATGCAGGCATGATCTCATGGGTAAGACTTATGTAAATAAATACCAACTAACAGATTAAATTTGTAGCAAGATGTGTATGTGTAAAGAAGAGTAAAAAATACACATTTAATTTCATTAACTTATACATTGTATCTTCCTAAGTCAAAGCCAAGGAACTGAATTAAAAAATAATAATTAATTCAAACATAAAACTGCCTGTTTCAGAGATCATTTAACAAAATAATAAGCTTTCCAGAGAATCTGAAGAGGTGGTTGAATAAATATTCTTGTAAAACTCTCATGAACATAGAAGTATTTTTATTATTGTTTTGTAGGATTTCAAACAGTGTGCATTCATTTTTTTTTTCCAGGCTATATTAGTTGTCTCTTTAGTATATAAGACATTTGTGGATAAAGGATCTCTCAACCATCCAATTATTCTGGTTGCATCTTGCCAACTAATATATATTGCAAATCATTTTTGGCATAACGTAAGTCATCTTCTGAAAGATTATATCATTACTGTGATAAAATTATTTAAGAACTTGCAGGATTATGATCATTAAGGCTTTTATCAATTCATCATTTTTAGTTGTATTAAGAGAAACAGAAATATAAAAGAATATTCTTGATGTAAAAGTACTATGTTAAAGAAACCAACTTAAAGCATTGAATTATTTTGTGGAGTTCTTTTCTGAATGATTATTAATTGTTAAAAGATCTTCTCCAAGTTCACTTTCAGTATTTGGGCAACTTGCTGAGTAAAAACTAGCACATAAATAAGATGTAAGTGGTAATTGTATTGATGATTTACTGTGGAAGTTAATTTTTTTTTTATTGTTAAAGTACATTATATTATGGTGATCCTTTTTCTTAGCTTGAACTTTCTCAATATAACTATGGGGTGAGGCATCCAAATGCCTTTAGTTACATAGTGTGGATTTAATGTTTGTGAACTCCCTGTGATATGTGCAAAAGTTCAGAAATTGCCTGAAGAAGGTTGGAAAGTTATACAAGAAACACTGAATTAAGGGAAATAGGTTCAGTTTTTTATTTCAAAAACTTAAATGTAACCATCTTCTAGTTATAACTTGCACAAAGCTGTCTGGTGAGCTCCTCAGTAAGCATTTTATTTGGTTACTGATTACTACATGTGAACTTTGTATTGAACAGTTACTATGTAGTATAACATTAGAAAATCCAATAACTGTAACAATATATTCAACATGCACTGTAATATTTATAAAGATGTGTATGTGATAAGTTGGTAAATGATAAAAAGCTAAGATCAGTTTGTAAGCAGAAGGTAAGTATTTTTGAAGTCTAGCAAAAATATTTTTGGTAAAATCAGTTTCCTCTCAAAAAATAAAAATAAAACAATGAATTTTGAAGATTAAACAAATAAGCTTACACCTAATTTGTATATTGATTACATTTCCAGGGATTTATGAGTGCAATTCTTTTTATCATTCATATTCTTATTTAAGATTAATATAAGTATAATTCTGCCTTCATCAGAAATGTTTAAAATTAAGAACACTTTATCAGGATCATCAGTTGACTGAACACTGTAGAAGTGAACTGTTATGTAGTCATACAAGTTATAATGCACCTTCATTACTAAAAGAATCCTTTATGTTCACTCTCTTTAAGACCACAGATATATCAGTATACCTGCTTTTGTTATATTCATTACTTGATAAGCTTCTACTGCTGACAGGCATGTTTCATCTGAAAATTATTTGAATGCCTTATGAAACCAGTCTGGCTACACAAGATTGGAGAAGATACTGGATTAAAATAAAAGTTACTAACATTTTCCTGTAGCCTTGATTGTTTGTTGTATGACCTATTTCAGTACAGTTGTAGTATTTGCACTTTTTGTTAACCTACCAGTAAAAGTTCCAATTACTATGCCAATTCATAATTTATCTTGGTTTTTGATCTTACTTCATAATGTTCAACTACAAATATAATTAAAATAATGTAAACTGTTCCCCACCCATTTGCTTCTACTTATTGATGGTAAACACAAAGTTACCAGTAATTTTGATGGTTTTTTTTTTTATGAAGCTTAGCTGTCAACTTTTATACAATAAGTTTAAGTTTTTATTACATAAAAGTATTTACTAAATTGGACAAAGTTATTAATTTTTTAATACTGAATGCCATGAAACACTGATTTTTAGGAACATTATCTAAGTTCAGCAACCATCCAATATGAAGGAGTAGGCCTAATGATGATTATGGGATTTTTTACCTGGTTACCATTCTTCTACTGTATTCCAGTCATGTATTTGGTCAACTATCCACAGTACATTACAGATTACTGTCTTGGTGGAATAGCTGCTCTTTTTGGTAGGTTCGATGAAAAATGTACCTATTAATTCAACTTTCAGCCATACAAAAGTATATGACTGTAGAAAATCTAACAGCAGTCTGTATGCAGATAAATCATTGAGAACACAAATTACTCAAAATGGAATAGTTCTGTTCAAAAAGCCTTTAGTCAGCCACAATACAAAAACAAAATAACATGCATCTTTTTGGACACATTATACTTAAATATGTGTGTGTGAACAGTTGTATGTATCAAAGATTTTAAGGTCTGAATGTTATTGAGAAATAAAATATTTCATACACACATGTGCGCATTAGGTTCTTTACTGATAAAGCTCTTTTCATTATTACTACAAGGCTATCGTGGTGGTGCAGCACCTACGCAGGGTTATTCATAATTTGTGCAACACTGTCAGAGTATTGTAAAAACTAAGAGGATATGTGAGGAATGACATACAAAGGAAAATTTTCTGTGACAAAGACGCTCTGTGATGCACTGCTTGATCACCAGAGGGTTGCTCAAATATAAAAAGGCTGAATGGCTACACTTGCAGAGTGTTCTGAAATATAATTTTGTTGTGTGGCAAATGTGGTCATAACAGTGCTGCAACAGGTTCTGATTTGCTAGCAAGCACACTGACTGAGGCACAATTCCTAAATCAACAGTAACCAGATTTGTGAAGAATTTCTTCAGACCTAAAGTGTAGCAGTTGATGCTATTGAATAACTTTTTCAGCCAAGTGGTGTATCATTATAATGTCTCTCTGTCAAATATATTTTTCTTTGTACTTTCATCCTATACATGTCCTACAGTTTTCACTTTGCTCCAATAATGTTGTAAAAATTATGAATCACTCTGTATTTTAACTGCCTAGAAGTTATTTGACTTTCAGCCAAAACATACTCTTTATAACATATGTTGTGTGCATCTTTTAAGTAAATCAATAGATTATATGGTTATATTATATTAACACTGAAATAGATAAAAACAAGTTGACCAATATTTGAACACATAACTTTCAACTTATGCTAGTGTTGTGAAAGCAATGTATTATTACTTACTTGAGCTTCCAAGACTTTAAGACCCAAGCGGACAACTCTCTCCATTTTATGTGTTACATCATACATTAAACAAAGATTAGGTTAATTTTTGTGCATATAGGTGCTTTGGTTGTCAAATGATAATTATTATATACTAATTTAATTTTTTGGAAGAAAAAGAGGTAATATGATTTAACACAGTTCAAAGTACACACTGTAGAATGTTGTTTAAAGAGAGAGTAATGGTAAATGATCACTGATGAGTTTAACTTTTTCTTGTGAAAGTTGAGGTTTTAGAGAATTTAAAACTACAGAGTTGTCAAAAATTATCTTTCCTATTTTAAAATTTAATAATTAATTAACTAAAGAAATACAACTATGCAGCTTTCAGTATCTTGTAGCCCAACTGAAACAGTTTTTATTGACATGTCAGTAGACTTATACGTATACACCATTAGTGGATCTCATCACATCTAATCGATATTCAATTTTAGTCCACATTCGATGCAACATGTCCTCAGTTACAGTGGTGATGGCATCTGTCATCCTGGTCTTTAGTTCTGTGATGTTTGCTACAGGTGTGCAATACATGATGCACTTAACATACCCCAAAAGAAAGAAGTCTAGTAAAGTGATGTCTGGCAAACAAGGTGGTCGTGGAATTGGCCCACCTCAACCGAACCATTGCATTGAGCCTTTTCTTGCACAATTGCCATTTTACAGGTTAACGCTACTCACTGGAGTGAAAAGAAACATGACAATAAAAACTGTTTGATTTGGGCTCTAAAATGTTAAACTGCATGGTTGTATTTCCTTAGTTATTTGATTATTAAATTTTAGAATAGGAGAGAGAATTTTAAACATCTGGATTGAAACACTCAGTATGAATTGGAAAGTAATATTGATACTTTTCAGTGAGATATTAAAAATGTAAACAAAGTTATCAGATCCTTTTTAAAAGATATTGATGATGTACTTTTGTAGCTGAATAGGTTGAAATGGTACCGTTGTAACTTTCCTTTGTAAAGAGGAGTGAGGTTAAATACAAACTGTCACATGTCGGTAAGTAATTTTTATCCTTTAATTGAAATATAACTTGGGTTATTGTTAGCACATTATTTTTCTCCTACAGTTTACTAGTTTGATGATTATTTTTGATGGATCTGCAGGTTTGGGTCTATACATGTATGGTCAGTCCAACAGAGAAAAGTATATGTTCAGAAGAAATCCACATGGGCCCTCTGTTGCCCGTAAGTGTTACTGTCATTTTTTATAATTTTTTTAATTTATACAACTTAGTTAATTAGAAGAAATGGTGGTTATTGCATCACAAGGTAATAAAGAAAATACAATTGAAAACATTTCCAACTAACGTTTTCAGAAAATTAGCAAATGCTGGATTTGAAGTTTCTGTTGAAAAGCATAAGAAAATTAAGCAAGCAATTATTATCAAGTAACACTGACATTGAAGCCCAGCTGTTTTTTCATTGAAGTAACTTTTATTAAATATGTATTACAAACACTAATTTGTGTGTGTGTCTACACACAGAGTTGGAAGAATATGAGTAGTTATAAAAAACATGCATGTTTAGTACAAAGACCGTGAGCAGATATAGACAAAAAGTGCTGGCACTCAGTACATACACAGTGTATGAGTTTGAAATTGATGGACTTTATTGGGACTACATTTTATCTTGCCTTGACACTTATGTTGTGCAGTGTCAGGCTACTAGGTAAAGCGATAATTTGATATCAATCATTGACAGTTTGTTAACATTGTTTCAATGGGAAGGTCATGTGGAGCAAAAGGTTGATTTACAGGTATGATTTTTAATTTTTTTCATTAATTATTAACTACATAATTTAAGTTGCAATGTAAATCTACTAATTTGTGGCCATGGAATCCAATGGTATGTGAATTTTTTTTATTTTCAATATTTAAAATCACCAAAACTCTCTAAATTATCAGAGTGAAATATTAACATGCATAAAAACATTTGAAACCATATGAAGTGTTAATATTTCAATCATTACTCACTGATTTGAAAAAAAATCAAACTTTTATAGATGTTTATGGGAAATTTTATAATTGTTGAAAAACTTGTCTGTATTAAGTGTTGTTTTGTTGTTTTTCCAAAGTAGCATTATTTGGCCCTAAAATAATCATAAGTAGTGATATTGGTTGATTAAAGTTTTTACAACTAATCCAAAGAGTTTTGGGAGGATTTTATTGAATGTTTCTGTGGTCTTAAGGCTATATTTATTGAGGTTTTATCATTAATTTCATATTTTAATATGATTTCATTGAGTATATTTGCAATTTGAGAAGAAAACTAATGAGATGATAAGTGACTTAATTATTTAATGGAGTAGTTAAGTGTTTTACACTCACAAAAAAGAAACCTAT